CAAATCACAAGATTCAATATAGCAAAATATAATCAAGCTCCAAAGATTACCTAAATTACAAGAATATGGTCTATATGAAAGAGGGGATTGATGTAATACTTGAGATTTAATATAAAAGGATTAATAGTACTACTCATACCAACAAGATGCATCTCCTTTTAATGGAGCTTATCACTCAAGAACTCCAAAGTTAAGTGTGCTTGCACGGGAGGGAGTAGTCTTGGGATGGGTGACCCCCTGGGAAATTTCCGAGGGCGCGCATGAGTGAGGACAATGTGCGCGGTAAAAGCTCGTGGTGGTTTGTGAGGACAGTACTAGAGGTCTGGAGTAACTGCCTCGGGTCGTGAGGGGCCGGGGTGTTACAATTGATGTGTATGTTAACTAGGAAGGAGATAGGTGTTTTATAGAAGAAATGAGGTGGTTGAGTCTGATACCCGGTCAGGTATCAAGGATACATGATCAGGTATCCTTGATAGTAGCTAGGAAAGTTCTAAAATCTAGTCATACCCGACCGTGTATGTCTATATACCCGATCAGGTATGCACCGTATGTTTCCTTTTCTGCATTGGAGATGCAAAATGCATTTAACTTGTGCATTTGTTGAGGTGAAATCACAATTCACCTCAGCATGTACCAGAGATGCCTTAAACCTAAAGATACCCTCCTACCTAATTTCACTTCAATGATCGTGTTTCTTGTCTCACAAATAATGATTTTAATCATTCTATTGTTAGTTACTGTTACAAATTGGGTGTTAAATATTGTACTTGAATTGTAAAAACAAAACAGGGTTTATTAATGAAAATAACTTTAAGGGACGCCTTGATGATGTAGAATATTATTTTATTCTTGGGAGAATGAAATTGCTTTAATCAAATGTGACATCTCAAGAATTGTTGTTTGGGTTACAAATTGTTTTTTGCATTTACATGCACTATTATATGAATCTCATTTAAAATTAGAACGAGGATAGTATCATGTTATTTCGAGTTTGCCAATGGGATTAGATTTTTTAATTTTTTTCCAAACGTGTTGTACTCAAAGGATTTTTTTTCACTACATATTTATACCTAAAGATGATTACTACATAGAAAAAGTTACAATCTGCCCTAAACATATTAGTGTTTTCGGTTTGCTATTTTGTGAAGATTAATAAACCTCTTGAGATAATCTCCTTTATCATTTCATTATATTAATTAATAGGGAAAATCGCACTTTTAGTCCCTGAAATATTCATCATATTGAAATGTCAGACCCGTATTTCTGAAATTGTAAATGCCACCCTCAACATGTCCAAATTGTTGTAAATGTGGTCCTTTGAGGGGTCCTCATCCACATTGTACATTTTACCCCTCAAAGGACCGCATTTACAACAATTTGAACAATTGAGGGGTGACATTTACAAACTTGTGAACACGGGGTGTCTTTTATTCTAATTGATGAGTCTTTTGTAGTCAAACTACATAGTCTCTATTGAGAGTTGTCACTTCATTAAATACCTCAATTTTATATTACTCCCTCCGTCCCTTTTTAGTTTTCCAAACACAAATTTTCAAGTCAAAGTTGTTCAACTTTGACCGATTATATATTTATGCACGGTAATATTGATAATAAGAAAATGTTTTTTTGTTGAAAATACTATCATAAAAGTATAAATTTATTAACTTTTACATAAATATATTAGTTAAAATAATGGATCTAAGTTTATCATCTATGACTGGAAAAGTCAAAGCTGGCAAACTAAAAAGGGACGGAGGTAGTAGTACGTTAGTTTCGTATATATTTTGGAAGAAATTCCATTTTTGATCCTACAAGTTTGATGTCAATTCCACATTTAGTTCATGTCTGTCACTTTGTCCGCTTACGATACATGAGTATTGTGTTTTCCCCCATATATGGTCCTTCCGACAATATTTCCGATGATTGAAATCGTGAGAGAAGGACCACAAATGGTTAAAAAAACATCAATCAAGTACCAAAAGTGAACAACGTAAAAGACGTGAACTAAATGTGGAATTGACATAAAACTCGCAGGATCAAAGGTGGAATTAATTCTATATTTTGGGTGGCAATGTAACAATGTTACATTAAGCGTTCATGTTTTTTCATTATCTCATTATTATCAAATAACTCATGAATGTAATATTCGACCAATGATGTCATATCATGGGTTTATTTAAAAAAATATTTTAAACTATATTCTTTAAAATATGAATTATAATAAAATCATCATGTGCATGTAATTATATATTTCTAATAGAATCAACATCATCATATAAAAGAAAGAGTTGTAGTGTCAAATGTAAATTATTAGACGAATCAAAGAAGAAACCAAACATGTTTAGGATAATCAAATGAGCAAACTCACACAATTACTTCATATAAATTTAGTTGACCAATATACCATCTAAAAAGGTATATTTTGGCATAATGACATATTGATGGACAAAATCAATTGTGAATTAAGATTATCAAAGTCTTTCATGGACGAATACGTGATGTGTGTTTTCTCGCACTTTTGGACGAATACGTAATGTGTGTTTTCTCGCACTTAAAAAGGATGTAGTAAAGTGGTTTAAAGTACGAGTATCGTCTCCACAGGGACGGACAAAAGGGAATCAAGAATTAATTAAATTCAGCGATTAAAAAGAAAATAAAATAAAAGCGTCGTGCGAGATTGATTGGTTGGAAAATTAAACTAATGCGAATAAAACGATTAAACTAGGTGGGTTCTCTCTAATTAATGACGAAGGGAATAGGGATTGATTCCGGGGGTAACCAGATTTCTGGCAGATATGGCCTAATTACATGAAATTAATTCAATTGAGCCTAGCTAATCATTACTAAGTTCTTACCGCTCTCGCGGCGTAGAGTACAATAAATTAGGGGACCAGGCTGATCTCTCATGCGACAGGATCCTAAATTATTGCCAAGACGAGCGAGCTTACAGCCCCTTAATCGCTACTAATCACTTAGCGAACGATTAAGTGTGTGTGAAGGTGTCCTAGAATAAACTAGATCTCTCTTAATTTATTCTACAAGCAATTGTAATTCTAGCGCGCGTTCTAGGTTACAAAAGATATCAGTTAAATTATTCAAACACAAATTAAACGGCATTCATGCAATTAATCCATCAAGAAACTAGCCATACATCATGATCAACCCCTTCATCAACCCCAAATCTCTAATTAAAACTACTCACAATTCATAATTGAAGAATCAACAGAATTGGGAAGAATAAAATTAATTGTCATTAATTAAAAAGGTGGAACTTACAAAGAATACCAAAAGATTGATGAACAAGGCTGAAAAGCCCTCTAAAATTCGTGCTAGGCACTCTCTCTAAGCCCCCCCTTGAAAACGGGGTTTACAGGCTGTTTAAATAGGAAAAACGGAACAAATTCGGGCGAAATTAGGATTCCAGGGGCAACGCACGGGTACAACGCACGGCGTGCGTCCCCCAGTGCGTCAGGAGCAATGCAACGCGAAATTTGGAAACGCATGGCGTGCGTCCCCCCACGCACGGCCGTGCGTTGCTGGCAGTAGGTTCTTTGCTTTCTCGCCTCAGACGCACGATCGTGCGTTCCCCTACGCACGGCGTGCGTTCCCCTACGCACGGCGTGCGTCAAACTTCCGAATTTGACAAAACTTCCTTCATGAAAGTTGTAGATAATGAAGTCCTCTATCCACCCCAACTTTCCGAATGTGATTTGGATCATCCAATCAAGAGATATGATTAAAACGGTGGAAGGTGTTATTCTGAAATCGCAGCAGGGATCATCTGCCTTCATCAGATAGCGGGTAGGGTTGACACATTGGCAACCCCACCCGCCCGACCACCCGACCTAGGCCTTTTACAGTTTACTACCCATAAGCCCATTAGTCCATTACCCTTACTCCCTTTTACAGTTTACCACCCATAAGCCTATTAGTCCATTACCCTTACTCCCTTATTCCCTTCACCGATTAGCCCATAGCCATAACTCCTAAGTCCCTAAGTGCTAACTTAGAAATAGTCAAATAACCCTAATCTAGATATAAGCTAACTTACACTCTCTATCTGACTATCTCTATTTTCTACGACTGAGAGGAGTGAGAGACTCTGACTTCTCTCTTCGTCGGCCGCTGTCTTCGTCGCCCGATTGAATATCCGTCGGTCGTCACTGGCTCACTGGCTCAACCAGCTAGTGGAAGCCTTCAAGCCAAACGTGTGACTGTGTGAGCCAGTGAGTTTGTGAGATTGTGACACCAATTGCCAATCTTTCTTCTTCGAGTCATTGAATTTTAAAATACTTTTGCAATTCTTCAAGCAAAGAGTCTCAGAAATGGAAATTGGGATGTATTAATTCTGCCTATTTGAAATTTGAATGTTAACAAATTGTGTTGTGGTTTACTTCGTTTTAGACCAAATTTGAATGTTAACAAATTTCAATAAGGAAATTTGCCGCAAGGCCAAATTCATAACCTCGGACAACTGTCTGCCAACTGATAACTTGAACACGCAACTAAAAATTTACAGAAAAAATCAGAAGAACAAAAGGCGGCACAACATGACCACAAGATCTCAGTTCAGAGACTTCTCATGGGACTAGCTTTTTATATTTTGTTTCCTCATTTTGTTTTCCTTTTCTTTTGTACTGTTGTTCCTTTTGTGTTTTCGCATTGTACTATTTTCTATTTTTCAATAAATTCCTTTTGTTTTCAAAAAGTAAATAAAAAATTACTTCATTTTAGACCATGTAATTTGTAATATAAACAAATTCTATGTTTGAATTTGACTCCCTCCCTACTTTGTACTAGACTACTATCAAATTTGTCAGGTTTGTAATTATTTATAAGGGAATCAAATTATGTTTTGCAGTTTTGAACATGTCGTATTTTTGCTAAATTCCGTATTTTAGGTCTGAAAATAAAACCGACTCAACCTAAAACCCGATCCGAACCCACTTTGACCCGAAATTTAAAAAACCCCAAAATATGCAAGTAAAAAAACACAGAATAGGATATCCATATTACACATCTGAAATCTGAGAGTGTCTTGGGTTCACCTGGTAACAATCAATTGATTCAATTCCATACACTATACAGTATACAGCTTGAAACACAGCCTGAAAGCCTGAGATTAGCCATAAGTCTGAAAGTCCTAAATAAAAATTTAAAGAAGTGGCAAAAGCTAGAACAGGGACAAAAACTCTGATTAAAAAAAACTTTTAATTCTCCGTATTAGAAAATGAGAAGCTCGTTCCTTCATCCCTGCGAATTTCGTTCCCCAACTTGCCAGATTCCGGTATAGAACTATAGGTTTTAAACGAGTGATCCAGGGGTAGCAAGTGCTGGTTTCAGCAGGTTACTCGCGGCTTTAGGGTTGAGGTAAGAGAGCAATGCATGACACTTTGAAGAGTACACTTAATATTTACTTGTAGGTTACATGTCGTATAGATTATGTGAATCTGTGAAATTGTTACAGGTGATTACTACTACTTCTTCTTCTTCTTCTTAGTTCTTCATTTGTTCTTACATTCCAGTTCTTCATTATCTTATTAGCCATTTAGCCACTACTTGCGAGTGAAAAATAGGCAGAAAGTAGATATATGGCACAATAAAGGATAGAGCGTCTTACAAAGTGCGGTGTAAACCATAAAACAATCTGAACTACGGAGTATATGAATTTCACTATTCTGGTGCTGAAACTTTCACTTTGATGATTTTGATCGCATCTTTACTGCATTGTAATTTATTTATGCGACCAATATAGGAATTGCACATTTATAATTTAACTGATACAAGGCTGGTTAGTAGTAGGACATTTTAGTTTGGACTGAAATGCAACGTTCTTAACTAGTCTAGTCTGATCTAATATTTTCAAATTAAATAAAATATTTATTTGATATTGTTTGATTAATACAAGTATTTAAAACTTATTAATTCTGATATAAATTCTTAGTTTTGAAAACCCATGTCAGAAAGTATAACTGTGGAAAAAGGTGAAGTTTACATCCCTTTTTACTAAATTATTAATTATTATAATAATATGCATTTGTGAAAGTGATGATAGTAGGAGATACATTCAAATATCTAACTAATAATTCTTAATAAAACATTTATTACTGTTCAATAGATTGTAAAGCTACAAATCCGCCCCAGATAACCAGATTTGTTTGTCAACATGAAAGAAGACGAAGATAATGCCTTTCATTTCTTACAAAGTTTAGAGTAAAGATGAAAACCTAATCTAGCCAGCCCACAGCCTAGCATTTCCGTTATTCTCTTTAAGAGTTTATGGTTCTGGAGTTCTCTGTGTCAGCTGGAGGTAGAGCCCCTCCCTGGCAAAATAGTTTATATTTTACTGAACAATCCGAGTTTGTAGGTTTGTGGTTATGTATTTCTTCGATTTTTCTTCTCATTGACGTGTCTGACAGTTTGACCCCCGCACCCTATCCTTTCTTGTTTCCTGAAATTCATGTGCATGTAAAGAGCAGCTTGATGAATATTGGTGTCCCTTCAAGGCTTGAGTGTGAGGAAAGATTTATAGTAGTCCTAGACACCTAGTAGTAAATGTTTCTGAAAGTTGTGAGGATATACAGTATTTGTTTTCCTGAAGAAATCCTGCATTAAATTCATATGCAGTATACAATGTTAGAATGACAAGTTTCTTATTAAATTAATTGTGCTTGCACTGTAACTGATACACAGTATTTGTTTTCCTGTAGGTTTGCTTTCATTCTGGATTGTTACTGGACAAGTACAAATAGTAATTGTTGAGCAAAGTAGATTTTTTTGTTTGATACAATGGGGTCTGCGTTTGACTGGAGTAAGGAAGATATGAATATGATTGTTACTCAAATCAGTGTGGGCGGGTTTGGCAGTGATGTAAGTGCAAAACATCTGTATGATTATCTTCAAGAGCAAGTGGGACTCATATGGAGGTGTAGACTCAAGACTTCTTCAACCCCTTATGGATCATACCCAGATTATTCTATAGATCCAGAACACGTAAGAAAGAGCAATTACTCTGAAAAAGTTGTCCCACATGCTTTTGTACACTTTGTGATGCCTGGTTCGGCAAAGGCGGCTCTGGCTGCTGCCCAGCGCAATCAGCTTATTTTGGCAGGAGACACGCCTTTAAAAGTTAGTTTGGGACCTGAGAATCCACACCGGATGAACGAGAGGAGGAGGAATGTGTTGCCACATTGCCTTCCAGACGCTCTTATAGAAATGGGAGTCATGGTGGATCGGGATGAGTTTGTCGTGTGTTGGAGGGGACCTGCAAAGGGTGCTGATTTTTACGTGGACCCTTACAACGCGACTTGCAGGCTGGTTTTCACAAAAGACACTGTTTTCAATTACCAGGGTGAAAATAAACAGGAAATCGTGAAATGTGATTTCAAGATCGAGTTCTCCTTGAAAGAAATCAACAAGATTCAGAGGCCTGATGATTATTCTTCTCTAGTGATGTTGTTGCAACTGGCTTCAGCACCACTTTTGTATTACAGAACGTCTGCTGATGATACTGAAAGTTCGGGCCCGTTTGAAGTGCCGGATGATGACGATCCATGGATACGTACCACGGATTTCACCGGAGCAATTGGTCGGTGTAACACATATTGGGTATCAATCAAGCCTTACAAGGGTCCCACTTTTAATAAAGTTATTGATTACTTCAGAAAACAGAGAATAAATATAGATGAATGTCCCAGGCAGAAGATTAGGAGAAGGGATGAGTGTTCTATCGGGGTGGCCCATCCCAACCCTTTCTTTTGTATCCAAGACAAGGAAGGAATGACTTTTCCAGTCTTATTTTTGCTGAATGCCGTTGTGCATAAAGGTATATTCAATCAGCATCAGCTGACTGACAGCTTCTTCAGCTTGCTAAAAAGGTTGCCTGAGGATGTAAATCTAGCTGCTCTTAAGCACATATTTGCTTATAAGTCTCCTGTATACAATGCATCTAGGAAGTTAGAATCCGTTCAGAAATGGCTGCTAAAAAACCCAAAGCTCACCGAGAGGCGTAAGGAATTGGATGATATTGTTGAAGTGAGAAGGTTAGTAATCACCCCTTCAAAGGCATATTGCTTCCCACCTGAAGCTGAGCTGGCAAACAGGGTCTTAAGGAAATACAGAAACATTTCTGACAGATTTCTAAGGGTGACTTTTATGGATGAAGCAATGAAGACCCTTAGCAATAATGTGCTCTCTTTTTACCCCGCTTTCATCGTGAAGGAGGTTGATGCAAAGAGTTCATTTGCGCAGAAGACTTCTGTGTTCTTCAGGGTGAAAGACATTATCAGGAATGGTTTCCGTTTGTGTGGCAGACAGTATTCCTTCTTAGCTTTCTCAACTAACCAACTTAGAGACCGTTCCGCCTGGTTTTTTGCTAATGGGGAAGGAGTTCGTGAACTGGACATCCGTAACTGGATGGGTAAGTTCAAAGATAAGAATGTCGCCAAGTGTGCTGCCAGAATGGGGTTATGTTTCTCATCCACATATGCGACTTTTGAAGTTTTGCCGAAAGAGGTTGACTGGGAGCTTGAGGAAGTTAAGAGAAACACGTACATTTTCTCTGATGGAATTGGCATCATAACAGAGGAACTAGCAGAAAGAGTAGCAGAGAAGTTGCAGTTGACTGTCAACTCACCTTGTGCTTATCAGATAAGATACGCAGGGGCCAAAGGCGTTGTTGCTTGCTGGCCAAAAAGGAAGGAAGGGGTCAGTCTACACCTCAGGGGAAGTATGAGGAAATTCGAGTCTGACCACACGATCCTTGAGATATGTTCTTGGACCAGGTTCCAGCCGGGGTTTTTGAACAGACAAATAGTGACTCTACTTTCTGCTTTGGGTGTGGAAGATAAGATATTCTGGAACATGCAGGAAAAGATGATGTATAGACTTAATGAGATGCTTTTGGATTCAGATATTGCTTTTGATGTACTAACTGTTTCTTGTGGTGAGCAAGGGGTAACGGCTGCAATAATGTTGGCGGCCGGCTTTAGACCTCACAAAGAACCTCATCTTCGGGGCATGTTGACTAGCATAAGAGCTGCACAGCTTGGCGATCTTAGATTAAAGGCGAGGATCTTTGTTCCTTCCGGAAGGTGGCTTATGGGCTGTTTTGATGAGTTAGGGGAACTTGAACAGGGTCAATGTTTCATCCAAGTCTCGAGTGTTTCTCTGGAGAACTGTTTCACCAAACACGGCTCTAAGTTCGAGGCAAGGAAGAACGTGAAAGTGATAAAGGGCACTGTGGTAATTGCGAAAAATCCATGTCTTCACCCTGGAGATGTGCGGGTTCTGCAAGCAGTTGATGTCCCCGGGTTGCACCATTTGTACGATTGTTTGGTTTTCCCACAAAAGGGGGAGAGGCCACACACTAATGAAGCGTCTGGAAGTGACTTAGATGGTGATCTCTACTTCGTGACTTGGGATGATAATCTTATCCCGCCTAGTAGAGAAAGTTACCCCCCCATGGAGTATGCTGCTGCAGAAGTTCCAGAGTTGCCTCGGCCAGTTACTCATCAAGTAATTATTGCTCACCTGCATTGTCTTAGAATTCATGTTTCCATTACTTGCATATTACATGATGTTTGAAATTCAGTTTTGGTTTATAGTTATTGTGATGAGAAATTTGTTGATTTAGGCTTGTAACTTATGGGTGTGCCCATCATTTGTTCTGTGAGTTTACCCACAAACAGATTCTCTCTAACTAATAAGTTTGCCCACATCAGACATTTTCACTGGAATTTATTGTAAACCACCAGAGAAGTCCTTGTCAGCAACCCTGTGCATTGGAATAACAGTGAAATGTGGTGCTACACATGCACTTTTCCGATTGGTTATGATATGTTCAAAATGTCTTAATGTGGGTAAATGTATTTTACATCACAAGATCTGTGAGTCTGGCTCCTGGATAAATAATGGGTATGAACACAAGTTACAAGATCAAATAACCAATTTTCTCTTATTTTCTTTTCATAAGTTACTAAGTTAGGGATTGTTTTTAAGGGATAAAAAGGGGCAGCCTGGTGCACGAAGGCATCCCCACAAGGCAAGGGTCCGGGTAAGGGTCTCACCTCAAGGGTGTATAAAGGGCAAGCCTTCACCTCAAGGGATATTGGCAGACGTCTGAATTTTGTAGAAGGAAGTGTTTAGTAACATCAATTTCAGCCAAATAATTATTATGACCTAATGGCCATGTGGCAAGGCTTTTTTATCGTGGCTGAAATAATTGAATACTTGAATCTACTGATTTTTTTCAAATAGTTGGTCTTTGGTACAGGGATAATTTGTGTGATAAATTGATAACAGCCATTTTAGCCAAATAGGTTTGTCAAAAGCCACCTATTTCTTTCATTCCTTAATGTTCTGCTTATTCTCTCATCATTCTAACAAACAGCTCCCAAGTTAAAAGCTCTTATTTTGCTGATAATCCGATTATGGCTACCAAAGGGAGCCTTCTAGTCTCACATGTTGAAACATGATAGTTTTTTTTTGTCCTCTTTGCAGCAAATTGCAGATTTTTTCGTGAAGAACATGGTGAATGAAAGCCTGGGAGCAATCTGCAATGCCCATGTTGTGCATTCAGATCTGAGCGAATATGGAGCATTTGATGAGAAGTGTCTTAAGTTGGCCGAGCTTGCTGCCATTGCCGTCGATTTCCCCAAGACCGGTAAAGTTGCAAACATGCCAGCTGAATGCAAACCTAAGCTCTATCCGGATTTCATGGGCAAGGAAGAATTCCAAACCTATAAGTCCAAGAAAATCTTGGGCAAACTCTACCGGAGTGTCACAGAAGCTTCTGATGCAGAAAACGAGTCTCCCTCTTCCAGTTTGGCATGTCTCCCGGAGGACATACCCTATGACGCTGACCTGGAGATTCCATGGTCAGAAACTTCGTTAGAAGAGGCTTGGAGCTGCAAGTGCTCTTATGATGGACAAGTAAACGGTCTTCTCGGGCAGTACAATGTGAGGAGAGAAGATGAAGTTGTGACGGGACACATATGGTCCATGCCAAAGCATGGCAATAACAAGGTCAATGATATGAAGGAGAGGCTGAAGGAAGCTTACCGGAACCTTCGGAAGGACTTCCGGAAGGTCTTTGATCAAATCCCGGCCCATGTTAAGGAACTTTCAGACAACGAGAAGAACAGTTATTATGAAAGGAAGGCATCGGCTTGGTACAGAGTGACCTACCACCCCACCTGGGTCAAAAGGACACTGGAGCTTCAAAACCCTGATGGTGGGACTGGGGAGTCGGTCATGTTAAGCTTCCCATGGATCGCAGCGGATTACCTTGCCCGGATCAAACTCAGATGCCGGGGAGTAGTAGGAAGCTCTGATTCCAGTAAGCCTATCAATGCTCTTAGTAAGTATATAGTTGACAGACTGTGACAAATGTTCTGTCTGAAAATCTTTCTGGAATTATGCTGTTGGTCGGTGTATGTATTTCTCCATCTTTGAACAGTGGGTCTCTAATTTATTCCAATACTTCTCGGCCTATAAGCTCTGCGGAGTCCCGACTTGATACTATCTATCAGTTATTCAGTTTGCTGCAATGGTTACTGGTATATGGCCGTTCTGCGTTTGTTGATAAAAACAGGCTTCTTTAAAAGCTACATAGTACTTAAAAGCTTCAAATATAATCATTTTCAAAATTAGAGTTTTATCAAATTTTGGCATTATAATAGACAAGTTACACGTCTATCAAGTTATACATCTTAGAAGATACAATTCAACTCGTAATCCACAATTCATCTAAATTTCGAAAATAACCAAGATGTTGTATGAATGAAGAAACAAGATTAAAAAACATTATTGAATTCAAAATATGAGGTTTTCTTAAGGAATAATTAGATATATATGACTAAAGTAAATTTTGTTTACGAACATGTGATTTTCTAAGCGTAGTGACTATAGTAGTAATTTAGTCATAATAATTTATGTTCAATTTTTTACATTTAAGTGATTATAAAATTATACTATAATAACTATCAATCATATTTTTGTAGATAAGTTTCATTTCATTAATATTTTTTGTAAAAATCCTTTCTTAAACTATTACTCAAATAAAACATAAGAAAATATGATAATAATAATTTCAACTATTGCAGGCCCGCTCATAAAATTCTAACTATCGATTGTTTTTGAATAATTCCAACTTTAGGGACTTTTTCATCAATAACGGTCCCATATGACCGACTATCTGTTCGGTCAATTAAAAAAGAAACACCCGATTATAATCATCTGAACTATGATTTGTTGATTTTTATTAGATCCAAAAGTTAAATGAAAATTTCCATAAATTGAAAAAAATGGAATAATTTACTATAGGTATTTACTTTTACTATAATTAACCTTTTTAGGTAATTGGGGCGTTAAAGAATATAAATACATAAATAGAGAATTGGGCAAAACTTATATAAATTTCAAAATTAAAATTTTATAATATGTAACATATTATAAGTATGAATATAAGTTATATGTATAGAAAGTAAGAAAGGATAATATAAGTACATCTAAAAGAAAACGAAAGTGAAAAATAAGTACAAACGTTTAGTTAAAAGATGGAAATCGCCTAGGACGTGTTTACTTCGTTGCTAAAACACATTTGGATTAGTAAAACATGTGAAATAAACCTACGGACTACTTAAAAAAGCTTTTTACTAATACAAACAAGTGGTTAATGTACCCCTTACTAATCATACCACCTCTCATATATTAATTGAGCGGCAGTTTAAACTATTTCAGTTTGCATATTTATACCTAACTCTTACACCTTACCCTTACCCTTATCGTTACCCCTACCCCTTACACTTACACCCCACCCCTACTAACCCCTATCCCTAACCCTACCCTTCCCCCGTACCCCTAACCCCCACCCCTTCCCCTACAAGTGCGCATAGCCTTACCCCACCCTACACCTTACCCCTACCCTACCTACATGTTCCCTTACCCTTACTCCTTTCCCTTTCCCTTCCCGGTACTCCTACCCGTACCCCTACCCCTACCCGTCCATGTACCTCGTTCTCCTCCCCCCTACTCGTACGCTCACCCCTACGACTGATAGGGGCAGGGGGCAGGGGTACGATTAGGGTGTAGGGGTAGGGGTAAGGGTTCGGGGGTAAGGGAGTACACGTACATGTAGGGGTAGGGGTAAGGGTACACATACATGTAGGTCGGGGTAGGGATACTGGGACGGGTTAGGGGTAAGGGGTAGGCAAGGCCCCTACGTATTATATATACTTGTGTATAATGAATATTTGTGTGTCTATGCATATATAGGATTATTTTGGACATTTTTATGTTAAACGGCGTTTTAAATCCTATGAAGCAAACATAAGCTTATAGCACTGCTTATTCTACCCACCACTTATTAACACAAGTCTTAATAAGTATTGCTTAGTAATCTATGAAGTATGAAGTAAACATATCCCATACTCCTAAAATTAAGAAAGTGCAAAAAAAAAAATCTAAATATTTGTAAATACTTAGGAGGAATAATTTTTGTATGATGCTTCTTGTTTTACCTTAATTTTTGTAACTTATTGTTATGTGCTATTGCTTTTTAGTTGGTCCTTTTTTTGAGTAATATTTAAAAAAAACATCATATGAGTGTATCGTGTACTTTTCTTATTATTCTTTATTCTATCTAACATACTTTACAAGAGGCACTAAAATTTTATTTAAAAAAAATAAAATTGTATAAAAATGTATGCCTTGTGAAGAGAGGGCAAAATATATGTACATCCGGCTGTACCATGCTCATGGTACAGCCGGCATTTTTGTAAATAGTTTTAATTCAAATGGCAATAGTTAAGCTATTTCCCTGCTCTGCTGCATCGTTGTTTTTCTTTTTCCGCCGGCATGCTTACGGCTTTGCTACTCGTAGATTTTACTTCTTTCTTCTATCTTTCTTTCTTTTGTTTGTTTCGTTGTTTTTCGTGATTCTTTGTTTCACTTTTCTTTCTTTTGTCTTTTTCCTTCTATTTTCTTTACGTATTGGTTTTTCTTTAACAATCTTTAATTTTAGTTTCATTTTCATTCAATTATCACTAAAATGTATTGTATAAAATATTATTTAATGTTTGGGTTTGTTTTTATTTATTTTCCAATCACTTTTCCAACTTAAGTTTTTTTAAAAAAAAATTTTTGCATTATAAAATATTTTAGTTATTAATGTTTTGTTTTTCTATTTTTAATTTTAAGATGAATATTTTAAGCTTATTAAATATTGTGTGTTATTGCTAACATGAGCTTTGTGTTATACTAAAATGAGTATACAGTAAAATAAATGTGCATGAGTAAATATTATAAGAACAACATGATTATATTTGTAATTCAAGGGGAAAAGACTATAAATTATTTTTAAAAAAACATTTTTATATTTCTCATTTTTATATATAATGATAGTTTATTAAATTGTTAGTAACGAATCTAATAAATGTACACATTAAGGAATTCAAATGATCCTTCAAATTTTTCGATACTCATTTTGTAAGTTACTTATGTTCATAAAGTACTGGGTTATGCTAATTTTAAAATGTCATTTTAATGCATATTTCGAAATTATCTTATGGATTTACATAATAGTTAGATTATATACACAATTGAATGCTTATGATAATCAATATAGAAGGTTTGATGTTCAATGATAATGTTTTGATGCTCAGTTAACAAAGCTTATGATTTTTATACCATTGTTCATTTGGTAAATTGTGTATGATCATTTTAAAATGTTATGTATATGCAAATTTCAAAAGTACCATATTACATTAGATTCATGTAGGAGTTGATTATAGATTGTATCACGAACCATGATATTCAATTGCATGTTTCTAATACTCAATATAGACATGCAAAATTGTCGTGATGCTCAACAAAAAACTTATGAGTTTCATATCAATGCTCATTTTGTAATTTGCGTATGCTCAATCCATGTTACGCTCATTTTGTATATCAATACACATGTTACGCTCATTTTTAAAATGTCATATCAATCCATATTTCAAAACTACCATATTACATTAGATTCACATATTGAAGTTCATAGGAATTGATTATGGATATAATTTAATAAGTTTTTATAAAAGAAAAAATAAGAAAAAGAAAGTGAATTAGAAGATATGAACCAGAAATCACGATACTTATTGTTAGGCTTCTAATACTCAGTAGAATACGTCTGATGCTCATTAAAAGTGTAGTAATGCTCATATAATGAAAAAAATGATTTTTACTGAAATTACGAAAGTGACACCGTTTTTTAGTTGTGATATCATGTTTCTTTTAATAACACGGTGCTCATTATTAGATGATTAATACTCATTAAAATTGGACTATTACTCATTAACCGTACACTAATGCTCATTTAGCAGAAACCGCGATTTTCACATTAATTACAAAAATACCACCGAATTATTTTGCTATTTTTCTCTTGGGCCTGTTACTAGGCCGGCTGTACGGTGCTCACCGTACAGCCGGTTGTATCATATATGTGCTCGTGAAGAGAGGGACATATGTAGACCATTGCCCTTTCAATACAAACAAAAGTAAAGAAGAAATTTTAAATAAGTTTAATTAGTCGGATCCCTAAATGCGATCTTGATGGTCCTATAATAATAATGGAACACGGACGGGTTAAATCAAGTGATGTATTGCTGTTATGAAACTTGTATGTGAGGAGACCAGAGGCAGATGTGATAATAAGTGAATTGATGCTCCAAAGTAGTCTGAGATAATGGTGACAGTGAAGTTGCGAAGATGAAGCCCCGCCTAATGCAAGAAGCCAAATGTTTTATATTAGTTGTGAAATAATGGAAAAGGTAGTCCTGTTAAATATATTTATAATAAAATAAGAGTTAGCACTCTTATACGGAGATTGTCCCATTTTACCTTTTCGGGAAGTCCCACTAAGAAAGTCTCATACTAAATTTGGTAAAGTTTGTGTGACTCTAAATCATTCTTACTTAATTCTTATTTTATCAATTTAATATCAATCACACAAACTCACTTTTCTTAATAATCGTGTCACCTTCTCTTGTCTCAATCTTAGTGGGAAGGAGGTAGTATCACATTTTCGATAAAAAATGACTATTTAATAAATGAATATACTAAAAACAGAATATTTTTTATTGGTATTTTTTGTTCTAGTTTTTTTTTTCAAGTTAGACTTTGCTTTGCTTGTGTTTCATCCCCGCTTCTTATAGAGTAATGCAGATTAGAGTGGGTAATGAGGAGTCTATTCCGATCATTTTTGACTCAATTGTGTCCGTTTTTGGGATTAACTCTAATTTTGATTCTAGGGCTAATGCTCGGGATGTGATTTTTTCTTGTAACTTGCCTCAATTCTGCAGTTTTAATACAACCCATTTACAACCAAAATACTAAAATCCTCTGAATATATATAATAATCAACCTATTAACCTAACATTGTTTTCTTCTCGCAATCCTCACGAATGATGAATAGCTTCCACCTTCCTCTTAGTGTTGCTGGTCTTCTTTTTCTCTATTCTTCTTGCTAGTGGTGTAGCCAAAAGACACATTTGCTTTTCCACACATTTTTTGGGTGAACACTGTTTAGCACTGTTTTATTTGCCAAAAAGGGAAATGTGCGTTTTATATTGGGATGTCCCGAAAAGGAAAGTGTGCGTTTTATATTGGGACGGAGGGA